GAGTCTCAGAATTGTCCATGCCCCAAAAGAGGTGGTCACTACTTCAATCTCATCTCTCCAATCTGAACTCCTTACAGCTCTTAGTGTGTCTCATATACCAAACTCATTCATTTTCCCCATTTTGAATATATTCCTCAGACTTAGTCTATTCTACTGATATTGCCCCAGAAATCCTGCTAAAACATGTGAAATATTCCTCTTAGTCAGTGTTTTATGTCAACTGGCTGAGGTGTCACGCTTCATGCCTTGTGTATCAGAAGGCAGAACAGACAGGAACATCAATGTTAGCTTAATCTGTTTCCTTTTCTTCATATTACTCCATAGTTTTGTAATTATCACATTTGCATTTATATATTTTAGGTCTAGTTGAAACAAAGTTATCATAGTCAGTAAACCATTAACTTTAAAGTATTAGAAAAATTATTCTCACAAATATGGAATAGCTTTAAGGATAAAACTCACCATTACTACTAAAGATTTATATGCTGTTATGCTACTTCTGTGGAAATGGTTTCTAAATTTTACTAAAGAAAATTGCTCTCATCCTTTCATTTTTATCTTGACTTATGTTTTGTTTCTTGTCTAAATATGTCATTTCATAAAATTCAAATAAAGAAATGCTGTTTTGGAGTTGTATTTAGTTGCTATAAATATTAATTTTATCATTTGAAGTTCTTTTCCTCCCTTGTTATATTTAACTATGTCTAACTTGAAGTCATCTGAGAGAGAGAGAGAGAGAGAGAGAGAGAGAGAGAGAGAGAGAATATGAATGCATGTAGGTTTAAAATTCAAGGCTGGACTATATCAGCCATTGAGAAACCCCAGTGATTTGTCCTTGTTTGTCCTTGTCTGAGTTCATGATGCTTACCAAAGACTCATCTGATTATAATGCTCAGCTTCCTGTCTAGTTGTGTACAGGAAAAACAATCAAGCAATAGGAAATGTCCAGGTCACAAAGCAGACACTTCTCATTATGAATCCAAAGATCAGCATTCTGGTGTGTCTATTGAATACTTGCCATGTTCCAGGCACTGTTTTGGGCACTGGAGAGTCAGCAATAACAACACAGTAGAAAATCTTTCCCTGATGGTGTTAACACTCTCTTGAGGAGGTAATCTCTGAGTAAACAAGAAGCTAAAATAATTCAGAAAGCCACAAGTGCCATGAAGAAAATAAAACAGAAATAGTATAAAGACAAAGAAAGGACAATTGTATGTGATATGATTAGGGGCGACCCTGACAAAGCATTATCTGAAGAAAGACATGAATCCTAAGGAAGACCTAACCATAAAAAGATGTCTGGTAAGATAATTCTAGACAGTGAAAGACTCCAAAATGGCAACTTTCGTTCAAGAGGAACACCAGCATAGCTGAAGAGTTCTGGAAAATAAGGATGTGTGTGAGTCAGCCTCCTGCACCTCATGCATTGGGTACACTGTCAACTTTGAATTTTTAGACCTGTGTGGCAGGAACCTCTATAACAATCCTCAATAATTCCTGCCTTCTGGTATTCACACTCTTGTTGCTCTCCTTCATACTGTACAAAATTTGGTTTCTGTGACCAAGAGTATATGACAGAGTCATGGTATGTCACTTCTGAAATTAGATTATAAAAAGCCCAAGTCTTTGTCTAAGATTCTCGTGTCTCTCTCTCTCTCTCTCTCTCTGTCTCTCTCTCTCTCTCTCTCGCTTGGGGGGAAGCAAGCTGCCAAATCGAGAGCAAACCTTTAGAAAAACCCATGTGGTAGAGAACAGAATCCTCCATACCATAGCCAGTGAGAAACCCACTTGTCAGCCAGACTTCACTTTAGAGGTAAAGTCCAAGTCTTGCCAAGCCCTCCAGTCATTGGAGCTGGTTCACAGCTTGACTGCAACCTTGTGAGACACCCTGAGACAGGACTACTGAGAGTTCAGCCTCTCCTGGATCCCTGACCTTGAGATACTCTTATACACATAAATAAAGAAGGAATTAATAAACAGACAAACAAGCTTGGTTTTTCCTTGACATTTAAAATTCATTTAAGCTTTATCATTCACATATTTTCTGATTATACCTAAAAAAACATAATTAAAAGAATAAGTCTCCCATGAGAAAAAAATTGTGTCATGGAATCTAAAGGGTTTTTTTTTGTGTGCAATCTAGTTCCCCCCCATATGTTCAATGTCCTCAATTATTATACATAATCAAGAGCTGACTGTTTCAGTGATTTTTAAGCAAAAGGGTATCCAAGGAATTTAATTTTGTCATTCCTTGATGTATCATAAAGAAACATTGTAAGAAAATTTATAATACTAACTTCTATTTGCAACTGAAAACATAGTTCCACCAAAATGTCTATCAGTTTGGTTAAAGAATATGCATTTTGATGTATGTTATATTAGAATTCTTACATTCTTTTACTTTTTTCACACATTGCCAGGCATATACACTTAAGACAAAAGATGAAAGAAGAGAAAAATCACGGAAGGTCCAGTATCTTGTTTGTAACTCTGAAAGAATAGTAAGTTATCTCTTCTCAGAGTAGCTTTTCCTAAAACTATAATTTTAGCTTTATTTTCATTGGAAGTGCAAAATAAAGGATAGTAGAAAGTTCTCACATAGCTCTAAGTTACAGGTCTAGATTGGCAATCAAAAGTTATAATACATAGTGAAAACAGTTTATGTTCATTCAAGGCAGAACTTCTTTTCATAATTCTCATTCTATAGACACAAAAACTGAAATAAAATTCTCCATATTTTATGACCTTATTTGGCTCTTTAGATTTTGTCTGTAAGTTATAAAATGAATGTACTAGATTACAAATAACTTTGAAAATGTTTCATAAAATGTAAAATTTGTAACAGTTGTACAAGTTATATACCAGTGAGAACCAGCGCCATTTCTAATAGGTCTTCACAATCTTTTCCTATACCCAAAATAGTTTTTGCATATTATTCTACTTATTTTAATTGTTTAATACTGGGTCACAGTTTCAAAGCCTACAGAATACCCATGCACCAACTGTTATTATTATTGCTAGCCCTTACTCTGAATTATTCATACAGTTATTTCATATAAAGCCTACATTGTCAGTCTATGTCAGGTTTTTATTTATATCTAAAACATATTTTTAAAATATATATTTAAAAACCTGACAATCTATGTCAGGTTTATTTTGTATTTCAAATCAAAGCCATTATTTGAGAGCAGAGAGAGAAGGATTCCCGTCCATACACTCAGTATTTTCTCCTTGACCTACATGTCTCCGTCTAGATGAAGGAGACAACTGCTCTTTAATCTTGGTTTAGCTTCTACCTGACCATGTTTCCACTTTCTTTAAATGTGGCAAACACAAACATCAGGGATAAGAGCAGTGGCGCTAGCTGAGTTTAAGGGAGAGTAACACTTAAACCGCTAACATTCTCAACCATGTTTCCACCTGTATTATTGATGCCCCCAACCTGGGAAATACCTTGGGTTAGGCACATGCATGATGATGCAGCATGGAGAAAGGCATTACTCAAAAATGAAGGCTGTCACAATGTAGAGACGTTTATACCTTTGCATGCTCTCTCCTTGTCTTCCTCTTTCGGAGGAGTAAGTAGATGAGTTTATTTATGTACATATTTAAATGGAATCAGTATCATTATTGAAATCATTGCAATATTGAATATCATTTTCATCACTGTTATATTGCAATGATAAAATGTTCATACATAATATCAAGGTATTTTATTGATATATTGGTTAAAAAATAAAATTCATTCTCGATTGCTAAGGAACATTATTTAAAAAGTAAAAAATAAGATAAAGTCTTGGTCCAGCAGAGAAATGTCAGTAAGTCCTGCATGAGAAATTAATCCTTGTACTCAATACTTTTCTGTAATACTGGAAAAGGGTAAAAATAGCAACATAGTACCTTCAATATTTTAATCATAACATGTACAAGTCATACTGACTTATTTGAGTAAAAAGACTCCTTTTAAATCATTTTTGACTTTCAACAATAATTATTTCTGTACAACACAAAATTCTATTGTTACACATGAAGAAGGCAAAGCAGGATGAGGCAAGCATTTTGTTAAATTAACATTGCATAGCATTTTGAGGATTCGTTTTTACTTCAAAATACCCTGTAATTTCATACAAGTGATATTTTAAATAGGTTAGTAAAAATAAACAATTTTCAAGAAAAAAAAATATAATATTTCCCCCACAAGTAAAAATAGGATCTCATGGAAATTTTTAATTTTTTTACTGAAAATTTCTGGTATACCCTTGATTTAAAAACTAAAAAATAACACAATCGCCGGGCTTGGTGGCTCAGCCTGTAATCCCGCGCCTTTGGGAGGCTGAGGTGGGTGGATTGCCTGAGCCCGCAGGTTCGAGACCCACCTGGGCAGCGAGACCTCATCTCTACAATAAATCAAAAACTCAGCCGGGCATGGTAGCGTGCGCCTGTAGTTACGTCTACTTGGAAGGCTGAGGCGGAAGGATCGCCGGAGCCCAGCAGGTCGAGGCTGCGGTGGCCGGGAGCGGCCACTGCACTCCAGTCTGGGCAACAGAGTGAGACTCCAACTCAAAAAAAAAAATAAAAATAAAAATAAAAAAACACAATCTATAAATTAACTTGCAGAATTAAGCATCCCATTAGATGGAACCTTGTGAAATTGTTGTTTTTCAACCATAAAAATAACAATTTCATATGTTTTAGTGTAATAGTTTCCTGATGTATATCTTCAGCCAAGTAAAAAACCTTAAATTACTCCTTTTTATTTGAAGCTACAGTTTTATAAGGCAGGATACATTCTTATTTAATATGATTCTAGTGTACCATACTTTTTAGCCTTTAGAAAATTTTAAAGAATTAGTATACCATAATTTTTAGCCTTTAGAAAAATTTAAAGAATAATTAACTCATTCAAAATGGCAAACATAGCCAAAAAGAAAAAAAAGTACTCATTTTTCCAACTAGTGAAAAATCACAATTCAAAATTTAGAAAATAAACATTCACTTACTTTGGTAGAGTTTTCAAGTGATTTTCTCTTAACTCCAAAATCCTCAATTTGACAAGTCTATAGAAATAAATTTTGAAAATTACTTCTTAGTACTTCTTTATAAAAACAGTCCTTTAAAATAAGGTAAACTATCATTATTGTTATCCAAAAACTATGTCCAAACATTTTCTTACTATGATTACAGATTTTTAAAAAATATACAAATTAATTATAAGTAGGGCTGCATCAACATTGGGAAATTATTAACATTCACTTTTCTAAAAATAGTTAGATAAGACATCTCTGAGTCCCAGCCTTATGAATTTCATATGTTTTATAAAAATATATTCACTGTTGTTTAATTTCATGCATTAAACAGATTATCAAATACATATAAATATCAGGTACAGTGTTCACTGAAATATGGCAATAATTTCCCTCATGAGACTGCAAATGAATTTGAAAAGCAAATAGTACTTGTATATCATGGAGGTAAAAACTTGTACTCTGTGGTAAGATATATATGGGTGAAATATTCTGTCTCTGGGTAAACTAATCAATACCTCCTAACTTCAGTTTCCTCATCTATAAATGTGTGATAACAGTACCAAATTTATAGTGTTTTGAAGATTAAAAGGTCCAATAAATGTAAAGCAAAATTTTTGTTACATCATAAGTTTTAATAAATATTAGCTTATATTATTTTCATGAAATATACAATAAAAGAAGTGTGGTTACAGACCACATTTCATGGACTCTAAGGTGCACATTTTAACATTTATGAAAAGGACAGGCATTTAAAAATCTTCGGCATCATCTGTCCTGTGACAAGGCTGGGCTTGGGAAATCATGTGAGGAGCACGAGAGATTCATAGCTTCTCTTGCTTGGCTGATAATGGTGATGAGGGATGCATTCCACACTCAGTCTTGTTAAATTTTGCAGTCTAGGGCACACTACTGTTTCTCATGTCTAGACTGAACTTTAAAATGTACTCAGATGAGATTAATATCTTTAGAATAAATATTAATTGGCTTCTCTGAATTATTATTATTATTATTTTTGAGTTGGGGGTCTCACTCGGTCACCCAAGCTAAAGTGCAGTGGCACAATCATGGCTCACTACAGTCTCAATTTTCTGGGCTCAGGCGATGCTTCTGCCTCAGCCTCCCTACTACCTGGGACTATGGGCATGTGCCACCATGCCCGAATAATTTTTTGATTTTTTTTTTTAAGAGATGAGGTCTCACTATGCTGCCTAAGTTGGTCTCCAACTCCCGGCTTCAAGCGATTCTCCAGCCTCAGTTACCCAAAGTGCTGGGATTACACGTGTGGGTCACAGTACACAGATTGTAATCATTTTAGACTCTAAGAATTCTAAGATGATGAATTATATTTATTTAAAAGGTACTAAGATGTACCTTGATTGTTTTTATCCCTTAATATTTTATCCCTTAATATTAGCCCGACTTGGATTCTCTGAATTTTTAGTGTTTTGGAGAATATTTAACCATGTGAAGTTCTTCACCTACAATCTCCTCAGTCTTTCTCTCGGTATTTATCTGAGTTGCTTTCCTTTTTCTTTTTTTTTTTTTTGTCTTCTATCAAGTTTCCAATTCAATTTTAATCTTATAATTGTCAATCCCTATATGAAATTAAGTCATTCAGTTTTTCAGAGCATGGGTATACTGCTAGCAAAGGAGATATCTTAATCATTTGTATCCCAAATCATCTCAACAATTTGTACTAGTGTGCTGCTTTGTGATTATTTTTGGCTTTTAGAAGTACAGAACCTCAGGTTTTGGAGGATCTTAAGTGTCCTTTTGTTAAATTATCCAGCTGAAGGTTACAGAACTTTTTAGATAATAATAGTAATATAGAACACTTTTGGCAGACAACTTGAGCAAAATTAAATTCCAGTTCCAAGTGAATTTGGTATTGATGTTATGTTTTTCATTTGCCCAAATCTCTTCCTCACAAGACTACTTAAAGATAATTGACAAAACTTCAAGACAAAAAAGTGTCTTAGTGTAATAATTAAACATTTTCTATTTGATAAATCAAAAGCAAATTGTATTATGGTCAGTAACAGAAGGACAATGTTGGTTTATATGGTGAAGTGCCAATGCTTTTAGAAGCCTGTCAAATGATCTTTTGAAGCTCTGTGGATTTAAAACTGCCCAAGCATATGGTATTTGTAAGTGTTGTGATTTTATATTGTCACTTTGACATGTATTAGGTTTATTATTTGTGAAGATAAATATTTTTTATGTGTTCACTGGCCATTTATATGCAAAAATTAGGGAATCTGGGAAACGTTAATGTGTTTTCAGTATATAAATGGAAGCTGCCACATGTTAAGTGACTTGATATTTTCCACTGAGTTCCTAATATCTGTTAGTATCTTCTATCAACAGATAGGTGTTGAGTTATGCTCAGGCTATTATTTGAACAGTTTCAAGGATGACTCCTTAAATCAAAGCACTTGGTTATGAATCTAAAATGTCCTAGCTTCTAAGATATACCTATTATACAAAACAGTTCATTGCAGAACATCTGGAAAATACTGTAAGAATATCAAGACGAAAATAAAAATTACCCATATTTTTACTTTTAAGGAATCAGTCTTTTGTCTTACATACATTCATATTCATGGAAACATAGTTTATATATATTGTTATAATACACTTTTAGACTTACCTTATCATAAGATTAAAAAAAAAAATTTACCCAATGCATTATTAATGACTACATAGCACTGTCGTGTGGATGAACCATAATTAACCAATCTTCTGTCTAATCAATCTTATAGACACGTGTGACTCCTTTTATCCACAATGTATGTAGCAATAAATAAACTTGCCCATAAATCCTAGCATGATACCTGAAGATAATATGAGGAGTTCTAGGAATGAATTACAAATGGTTGCAAACCCTTCAGAGCTTTTGAAAGCATGACCCTGCACGAAGGTCGCAACATTCTCCCATCCCAGTAGCAGACCATGAGGCCATTTCTGTCTTCACACTCTAGAAATAATTTTTGCAATGTGCTAAAACAGAAAGACTTTATATTGTCACTTTGACATGTATTAGATTTACTATTTGTGAAGATAAATATTTTTCACATGTTCACTGGCCATTTACATAGTTTACTATAAATATAAATTGCTTGTGCTTGTTATTTGCCCATTTTCCCACAAGATATTTTTCATATTAATTTGTAAGAATTATTTATATATTAAAGATATAAATAATTTGTTTTTCATATATAATTACATATTTTCCCATTTTATTGTTTTGCTTAAATTATTTGTTTTCTGATATTAGTTTATTTTAAAAGTATTTAGGCCATCAAATCGATCTATCCACTTTTGATATTCTTTTTTTGCATCTATGGCTATAAAGGTATGCCCTAACCCAACAGCCATAAATATTGCTGTGCAGATAATTTCTGACTTCATTTTTCTGGCTTCATTTTTTTTCTCAAAGTTTTCAGACAAAGTTTATTAGAGAAAGAAGAGAGACAAGAAAGGAAGACTATTCCAGAGCCAGCATGGGCGAAAGGAACCGCCAGCTTTATTTTCTATATTCAACTTTTTAATCTATCAGGAATTTGTTTGATTATGAATGCCATGTTAAGACCTACTATTACTTCATGTTTTGAAAAATTTCATTAATTAAATTCTCATTTACTGAGTAATAATGAGGCCTGTCTTTAATCACAACTGTCACTATTGAAGTGTCCTCTACTATTGGTAAAGCACTTACGTAGGGGGAAATAAATTGCATAATTTAAATTTCTTATTCCTACCTTCCAAAATTGGCTGGAAGAAATTCAAGAAAGGCGTCGTTCAGGTAGAGTTGGGTCAGGTTTAAAAGCTGTGTGAAGCCGTCAGGGAGTCTGAAAAAGGAGTTAAAGTTTTAGTTACTGCATTGCTGTTGCTATAGAAACAGGACAAAAATATATATCTCCGAGGAGAAAAAAATAAAAATGTAATACATTTTCCAACTCTCCTTTGGTATTATAAAAATGCAAGAATTTATTGAGCATGCTGTTACAGCTTGAAAATTTTGCCTGTTATTAAAATAAATGGCATTTACCCACCTTCACACTGCTCTCCCTATACTGAAATTTATGCCACTGCTAAAATCAGCGACATCATCTCTTACTGCTGGCATCACCTTGTGTACACCGGCCAAGACATTTTTAGTGTAAATCTCAAGTTATATTGCCTGTTTTGTGATTTTAAAATTAATGTTGACTTTCAGTAGAATATTCACATAGATAGACCAGACAAGAATATCTGCTTACTATTTCACTTAATCAGCAAAACTTGTCTATGATTTGTTACAGAGATGACTAAAGCTGCCTATATGAAAAGAGAAATAATGTGTTGTCCCTCAACTGATAATTTTTTAAATGAGACTTGTCATCTATGTACATCATGATTTAAATTGGTTTAATTCACATTTATTAAAAATGAGCAAGAACATTGAAAATATAATTAAATAAAAGAATAAGGTTATAAGAGGCATTGAAAACTGAGAAAATATCCTTTGGAAGAATTTTATAAACTAGATGAAATAATTATTGAAATATTAAATCTTGTTCATTAAAAATACTGAAGTCAAGGATTTTCCAGGTGACTTTTTAGAAGAATATTGCATTTTTTCCTATAAATAAACTTCTATTTAAACATTCTTATGCCTGTATCTATCATCTTGTCCGGACTATGTTCTTTAACAAAATACTTTCAGAAAGCATTTAAATTTGTCCTCTTCTCAAACTATGACCCATCTTCCTCCTTGCATTTACTGCCAAAATTATTTAAAGAGCTGTCTACACTCATTGCTTTTACAACTACTCAAGTCATTGTTCTCTGGCACCTGCCTGACTCTGTTACTGAAAATGCACTCGTCAAAGCCTCCCAACAACCTCTTAAGCCCCCGATTGATCCCATTAGCCTCATTTCATTTTGTATCCCACGCTGCCTAACAACAGTTGCCTACGTGGCCTGTTCTCTCCTTTGCATCTAGTACAAGAGTTTTCCTGCTTCTCCTCTTCTCCTAGGACACTGTGTCTGATTTTCATTCCATGCTTTTCTTCCTCTGTCCAGTCTTTTGTTATAAAATGTGATATAAATACATATTTATATATACATACTATTAGATAGACAGACAGACAGACAGATAGGGTACCCACAATAGAATGAAGAAATAGAATCAGTATCTTTGAAAACCTCTGGATGTCCCTCTCTGACTATATCTTCCTATATGCCCCACACATTCCTGAATGATGTTTACTATTCTGCTTCTTAAACAGCTTTACTACAACACTTTAATTCCCTAAAACACAACATGTTGTGTGATCTGCACGTTTCTGAACATTATATTAACCAAACAGTTCTGTGGTCATTGCCCTGAAGCTTTTAAAAATCAGCATTAGATTTTTGAAATTCATCCATTTTGATGTGAATGGTTGACTATCATAGCACAAAATTCCATTATGTTAACATAAATACACAACTTATTTGCCATTTTCCTTCTAATGAATATGAGATTGCTTCCAGCATTTTGTTTTGCTATTACAAACATTGCTTCTGTGGATATTTCTGGATATATATAATGGTGAACATTTACAAGAGATTACCTAAATTATATCCTTACAAATGACATCACTGGGTAATAGGAAATTAAAGTCTAAGTTTACTAGATGTAACCAAATTTTATTTAGAATAGTTCCACCTATTTGTAACTAAACATCAGTGCATAAGAACTTTGTTTTTCCACAAACTTCTTAACGTTTGGTTTTGCTAGCATTTTTTGTTTTTCCATTTTGGTGAATGTAAAAATAATCATTACTAGTTATGAACATAAGATTATTGACAATGTGTGCTTCCTCTTCTGTGAAACAGGTGATTACTTATTCTGCCCATTTTTCTGTTGGTGCCCTGCCACATCCCCTGCCTTTAACAACTCCTGATCGCCTGCCCCTGTTCCCTGAGTGAAGCCTGCTCTGTTCATATGCCTGGTGAGACACAGTTCCAGGGAATTAACAATCCTTTCTGAAACAGTCCTCCACTAGTAACTAGCAGGAATAGAAGTACGTCCGCTCCCTCTCTAATTAAGTTTGATGACTCTGTGGTATGTGTTTTATATCGTTTCCTGGAAGTGTCCAGAGAAATCAAGATCCAGTGGTCCATACAAGTAAACAGCTAGATTACACACCCTCAACAAGTATTTCCTGGGATCGTCTCCTAAATATACCACTTTCTTTTCTTTTCTAACATCTTTTTCTGAAGAGTACAGACTAAACACAATATTTTTGTACTGATTTACAGCAATTCTTGACACATTCTCAGTAATAGGTCCTCACAATGTTGCTGGTGGGCTCTAGGAAACAGCAACTTAAGGTGGAACAAGTATAACAAAACAATTTTTCTCTTCCATCAACGTTGTAAGAAAACAGCTTTGAAGGAAACGGTATCTGAGGATCTGCTGAATGTTGCTTTGCTTAAAGTCACAGTTGTCAAGGACTTACCAACAACATTAAGTGAGGATTTCCTGTATACTAATCTGATATTGGCTATTTTTGCTGCAAAATATACTGTTCTAGTTTGTATTTTGCAGTTGAATTGTTGGAAATGGCTTCTTAGAGGGTGTTTCCATAAGTTTGATCTTAACAGAGATGAGATTCATGAAAGTAGAAAAGAGAGAGAAAGTAGACAGGGGAAGAATGAGAGTTTTTATAATGTAGTGGTAAGAGGACACCTGAGATAGAAGACAAAGAGACAGTGAGCTCTGGAATGAATACTTTATATGAGAGTATCAAGAGTTAAAATTGAGAATATTAGCAGAGCATAAGATTTAGAGGCCTTGAATGCTCAACTCAAAGATTTGAATTTGATCTTATAGTATTAATAAAAAGATCTATGATAGGTTAATAATCTTCTCTATGTTTTCCTTTGCTGTAATGCATTATGGGTCATATCCTAACAATGCAAGAGTTTTTATGATAATGGGAACAGATATTAAATACATTTCAATTGAAATTTAACTAACATTTTACTTTGATGTCTTGTAGGTTCCCATAGTCATTCAAAAGAAGTTATTATGCATAATTTTTCAAAAAAGATCAATATGATACATGCAAAGAAGTATATTAAAACCATTAATCTGACAATTTACTGTAAAATATTCACTACTAATAAGTTTAAAAGGCTTTAAAATATTAATTTTCCAGTTATAGGAACATTGTTTCATACATGTTTAAGCGATCCAGCTTTCCTTAGGCCACTATTCTCCTTATATATGCAATAAGTGACATTGTACTGTTTATTTGATTAAAAATATATTTATTAGCTGGGCTCGGTGGCTCAGCCTGTAATCGCCTTTGGGAGGCTGAGGTGAGTGGATTGCCTGAGCCTGCAGGTTCGAGACCCGCCTGGGCAGCAAGACCTCATCTCTACAATAAATCAAAAAATCAGCTGGGCATGGTAGCGCATGCCTGTAATTCC